TAGAGAGCTTCAGCCAGTGACTGCATGGCTGGAGGTAGGGAGTGGGAGTCAGGAAGTATGGAGATGAGTACCAAAGACAGAGCAAAGGGTCCACTCTGGCAGATACTCATATCACATCAGACACTAAGTGTATCTGAGAAGCAAGAGTCTTCAGGTCTTCCAAATAGAGCTTAGGCAAAAGATCATCAAAGGCTAATGTGCAGGCATGTTTCTTGAGAGAGATGTTCCTTGTCTAGCTCCAGGGGTGAGCAATTATCAGTGGGTCTTCCTGTGATTTCATCAAAGACTCACAGGGTCAGCTCTCCTGGGCTTTTTGCCCCAAGATACCAGGATAGGCTCTGGCTGTGAGTTGGTTTCCTAGACTTCTGTGGGGAGTAGGCTGGGCCAGAGGATGGGGCTTTGGCCTTCTTTTCAGCTAGATTTCACTCTGTAACATAATAAACCTGCTTTTTGATATCCATACAATAAAAGCCTTACCTGCTCAAAAATATCTTCCCTGCTGTTGTTCATGTGCTCAAATCCCCACCCACCCACCAAAGAATGATTTTCCAGGAACCTTTTTGGAGACAAGCATCTTTATATGCATATGTTCCTTGTGGGAGGTAGCTCCCTCAGATGGAGGATGGCAATGAGTTCCATGACACTTGCATCAACTCCTTCCATGTTTGACCATATCCATTACGATCAGGGGAGTTAATTCTATCATACCAACAATCTTAGGAGGTGGCTGGGAGAGCTTAAATGACATAATGGGTATGAAACCCCTTTGTAACCTGCATGACTGGAATCAGCCTCAGTCTTTGCTGCTCTTGACTGATATGATCTTCTCAAAATTGGGGTGGGGAGAGTAGGTGTTAACCGTATTTTACGATGCTGTGTTATCCCACATTAATCAAGTAGCAGTAGTCTAGGGCTGCAGATGCTACATCCTCTTCTACCACATCCTCTCCCACCTTCTCTGCCCCACTCACTGCTCCTATATGATCCCAGAAGAAAGATTGATGCAGTTCTCCCATCTCACCTGACCCAAGACTGATGATACCTTCTTCTACTTGGCTGGCTACAGAAATATATCTACTCTCTGATTAACTCCACTCTTATCCCACTGTCCCCCACATTCTGCCAGTAGGCCCCTGAAGGTGCTTGAAGCTCCATCATTAAACCCATTCCTTTTGATGAAGACAAAGGTGTCTAGCCAACAGAGACGGGTCCCCAGGCAGATCTCAGTGTTTCCCCAGAGATCAAAACACACTTGACCTTGTAGCTGCAAATCACTTTACCCAGTACAAAGCTCTTTCTCATTCCAGGGTCCCATTTGATCCCCAAAGGGAGTCAGGGTGGTAGCATGGACTTTGGAACATACTGGAGCAATTGGAACATGAGGAGGGGACTGGGCTGCTAGAGAGCTTAAGCCAGAGACTGAGAGGCTGGAAGTAGGGAATGAGGGCACGCTAACTCCTCTAAGCCTTGACTTCCTTCTGTAAAATGGCAATAATGCCACCACCTCATGTACTTGCTGTGCATGTACATGATGATGATCATCATCATCATGATTCTCAAACTGAATGTGGGAGAAGAGGGTATAGGATGGTGCTGCTGAATACGCATGGCACGTCTTCCTGGAATTTTATTTGAGGATTTGGAGGTGGAGGTTTTATAATAAAACCTGGATTTATTATGCAGCATAATGCAGACCTTGAATGTATTTAAAGAGTAAAAAAGGGAGTTTTGAAGGAGATGTCATGTTTCTAGTGGGCTACTTCTGGCTACACCCCCAGATCCCTGGGGATTGGACATGTGATCACACCACAGTGTGCCATGTAGGGACTGCAGTAGGAAAGCAGGAGCAATGCTATCTGATGGAGATTGAGAAGTGCCTGGCATGCAGTAGGCAGTCAGCAAATGGTAGTTCTTGTTATGACAGCAGCTCTGTCCTCCCAGTGGAAATGGGCTCACAGAGATGAAATTCTCACTTGGGCTACTCAGCTAGAAAGTGACACAGCCAGGTCTGGAACTAACTCCTGATTCCCCATCCAGTGCTCTGTTACTACCCCCATCTCTTTCCCATGAGAAAGGGCTTAATGGTTAATAGCCTTCCCCTGCTTAGGCCACTGCCCCAGTTCTCCCTCTCCCTCTGAGAACTCCCTCTGGTCAGGGAGGCTGGATTTCTGGGTTCCAGCCCTGTGGGGGCACACATCTATAACTCTTCTAAAAGGCAAGCACCCCTGAGAGGAGGCAGCAGACATGCAGTTTGGATGAGCAAATGTGTGTACTACAAACCTGTTTACATAGGAATGATGAGTTTTGGGTGGGAAGAGGAAAGGTCCAGAGTTTGAAGATGCTCTCAGGATTCAGTGGAGGCTAGAAGCAATGGTCATGAGGCAAGAGGTACAGCAAAATCTACATTTCCCTCCCAGTCCCATCTAAGATGACAGGCCCTCAGCTCTGCATCCCATTTTCAAAGCTCAGGTTTCTGGGTACAGATCAGAACCAAGGGTGCCCTTTGGGTCTTGCTAACTGGTGAAGAGTGATATGGTATCCAGGGACAGCAGAGGATTTTGGGAAGCCCCAAGCCATTCTTTCTCCAGGTCCTGCGGGGCTGGCCTCCCTGCCCTGGGCCAAATGTTTGTTACTGCTTTTGTCTGTCTCCCTAAATGAAAGGAACCTATGGTCCCAAGTGAATGAATCAACAATCCAGATTTCTCCAGCTTCTGCTTCTTGCCAGGAAATGGGATTGGGAGAGAGCCTGTTACGCTCAAGCCTCATTTACTTTAACCCAGTGATAGTGTTATTTTCCCATTTTACAGATGAAGGAACTGACGCTCAGAGGTTTGTTTCTCAGGCCCCAGAATATCCTGAGGCACTGGTAGAAATGCAAATTTTTGGTCCCACCCCAGACCTACTCACAATTTCCCTACGGTAAACCTGTGCTCACAAAAGTTCTAAAACCTGGACAAAGCAGTTTAGTAACCTACCCATGCAGCTTTTGAGCGGCAGAACTGAAGTGCAGACCTGATCCTTTTGATGCTAAATCCGGGGCTCTTTTCACCACATTCAGATATCTGTCACCATCCTGTGCATCTCAGTGTCCGCTACACAGGCGCATGATAAATTTTACTTGAATGAATGAATGAATGATGAGGCGCTAGCTGCTTGCGGACTGACAGGGCTGGCCGAGACCTTATTCCAGAGGAGGGAGGGCTTACGCATTGCTGAGACTCCGGACATGCAGACCCGGACCGTGTTGCTTTCAGAAAAGCCACTGGCAGAAGATCCGGACCATGGTGAATCTGCCGGTCATGAGCCCTTTCAAGAAACGCTACGCCTGGGTGCAGCTGGCTGGGCACACGGGTGAGCATGGGGCAGGCGCGGTTGTGTGAGTGGGTATAGGGGTAAAGGATGAACTAAGCAGCGCTAATAGTGCGGGTATGCAGGAAGTTTCAAGGCGGCGGGCACCAGCGGCCTGATCCTGAAACGAAGCTCTGAGCCGGAGCGCTACTGCCTGGCGCGGCTGATGGCTGATGCGCTGCGCGGCTGCGTGCCCGCCTTCCACGGCGTGGTGGAGCGCGACGGCGAGAGCTACCTGCAGTTGCAGGACCTGCTCGACGGCTTCGATGGACCCTGCGTACTTGACTGCAAGATGGGCGTAAGGTACGCGTGCCCTGCCCAGCTGGGTGGAGACCACCTGGCGGGAACCCCAGGGCTGGGACGAGCGTTCTACCCAGTACCCAGGGCCGCGCTCGATGGGGTCTCGGGGTGTGCCCGCTCATGCTCCGTCGCTGCCTGTGCCTCCGTAGGACTTACCTGGAAGAGGAGCTGACCAAAGCCCGCGAGCGGCCCAAGCTGCGGAAGGACATGTATAAGAAGATGCTGGCGGTGGATCCTGCAGCGCCCACCGAAGAGGAACACGCGCAGCGCGCTGTCACTAAGCCGCGATACATGCAGTGGCGAGAAGGCATCAGCTCCAGCACCACACTCGGCTTCCGCATCGAGGGCGTCAAGGTGGGCCAGGCCCACTTCGCTTTGCACAGCTCCGGCCCTTCCTCCACCGAGCCCCACAGCGCAGTGTCTGCTCTCCATGTCGGCCCCCCATCCCCCTGCAAAGGCACCCTCTGGCGGCCATCTCTCTGTCCCCAGCCTCCAACATCCCGAGAGGTCCCTTCTTTCAAACTTTCCCTCTCTGGCGGGTACGGGGCCCCTGACACTTCCTGTCCCACTTCCTTAAGAAAGCCGACGGATCCTGCAGCACCGACTTCAAGACTACCCGAAGCCGGGAGCAGGTGATCCGCGTCTTTGAGGAGTTTGTGCAAGGGGATGCGGAAGTGCTGGTGAGCGCTGGATCCTAGAACCCTGAGATATTCGAGAGCCTGAAACTGAGAGGTGCCCTCAGGTCATCCAGTCTACTGCCCTCGCCTGTGACCCCCATCTTAGAATTTTTCACATTGCATTGTAATGGTTTTACGTTCCTTTCCTTCCCTTCTGTTCAGCATACCACGTGGGGGCTTGTATTTTCCTCACCAGGGTATTTGCCAAGCCGAGCCCCCATTAACAGAGGCTCAATTAGTGTTTAGCTAATTTGCCTTCCTCTTCTACTCTACCCTCTCTAGAAAAGGTATCTAAACCGCCTGCTGCAGATTCGGGATACCCTGGAGGTCTCTGAGTTCTTCCGGAGGCATGAGGTGAGAGGGGTAAGCTCAGGTGGGGGGCTGGAGGGTCTGCGAGGGTTACAGAGGGAAAAGGGTGGAGGAGGTTCTGGGAGAAAGGGCCGTGGTCAGACCAAGTGGGGCTCGGCAGGTGATTGGCAGTTCGCTGCTCTTCGTGCATGATCATTGTCATCGCGCCGGCGTGTGGCTCATCGACTTCGGCAAGACCACTCCCCTCCCTGACGGCGAGACCCTGGACCACCGGAGGCCCTGGGAGGAGGGCAACCGCGAGGATGGCTATTTGCTGGGGCTGGACAATCTCATTAGCATCCTGGCCAGTCTGGCGGAGAGATGAGGCTAGGCTCCTGCCTCCCCGCAGACTAGCTGGTCTGACAATGGACCTTCAGGCTGCGGCCCTGCCATGAATGCCTGCATGCGGGCAAGAGACTGAAACCCAGAGGTTGGGGCAGTTCACAGGGTCTTGCAGGGCCAAGTGCCAACCACTATGGGACGCACTGCACGCACCGGGGTTGTCCCCCACCCCCATTCGAGCCCCAGGGGTCCCAGAGCCAATGACACTAATTTACCGGAATAGACTGGGACAATGGGCTTTTTCCTCAGCCCAGTTCTTTTGAGGGGGCTCTGTACCTCTCCAGGGAGGCCAGATAAGGAATTTTATTTTGCAGGCACTAGATCGATTGGTCTAATCTCCCACACTACAATGGACTCCACTTCCCAATAAAACTCAAAGACACCAGCTTTGACGACTCAGCCTCATCTCCTCCCTCCTTTGGTCTCCTCTTTCTCAATTCCCAGGCATCCCTCATGTCCACTCAGATCAATGGAGGATATGAGTTCTTTATTAGAGGCGTTTGTAGGGTTGGGGTCTGCTCAAATGAAAGATGCTTATGGGGGAAGGGCAATCCAGAGAAGGCTTCCTGCAGGAGGCAATTTCAACTCCTGGAGTGGGGGAGGGGTGGCCTCTGGTCCCAAAGATCAAAGACTAGGAGTGGCCAGGCCCCTCCCCAGGAGGCCTGGGGCTGGTTTCCAGGATGGAAAGTTCAGTGGTGCATGCCAGCCCTGAGACAGGCCCAGGCACACAAAACAGACTGGGAGGTGGGGAAAGAGGCTACTGGAATAACAAGCCACCTAGAAGTCTGGGGAGGAGTGCAGGGAGGAACACTTGCTAGCATCAATGCCTGAGTCCTCACCCTTGGGGCCCAGGAGTTATAGGTAGGATTCTAAAGATTCTGAGATTGGAGGCACCTGGATTTGGGGGGCTTGAGGCCTGAGGGTAGCCAGGGGCCAAGAAGACTCCCTCCCCAGTTCTTCAAGCTCTCCAGATTCAATTTCTGGGCCTGTGGGAATATTAAGCACTCCAAAGACCTGCTCCCCAGCCCAGAAGCTCCTTGCTCTTCCAGGGTGGGCCTCAGTTCCATTGGCAGGGGTGAATCTAGCACATCAGTGTCCTATAATGGGAGGGTAAGGGAGCAGAGGGCCAGTGTTTTACGGCTTCCTTCCTGACCCTCAAGACCAGGATGGTCAGGGCAGGTCATAGGGCATACCTGAGTTTAGTACTGATGATGCTCCAAGATGCCAGCAAAGCTAGGGCAGAGTTCAGGCTGGTGCTGCCAACAGTGAGTCATGATACAATACCTGGGGAGAAGCAGGAGTTCATGCCCCGCCCCCATGGCTGTGAAGAATCTCCATCCCTGGGCAACACTCCATACTCACACAGGCCTTGGACAGTCCCTGGGAGGGTCTATATGTCAACTTCCGACTACAAAGTCCAGAGTAACCAGAGTAGGACATGTAACCCAATGAGAAGATCTTCCAGAGCAGTACCCCAGAAGACCTGCATCATGAGTGGGGGAAACTGAATGAAGCCTATCAGACATAGCTTCCCTTTTCCATCACATGAGGTGGCCCAAGGCAGGGAAAGGGAGAGGATGTGTTATCACCAGGAGTCTGTCTTAAATGTGAAGATTCCTTCTAGGAAGGCCTCTGGGGGCATCCACTTGACCGCAGCAGAGCCCGGCCCCCCTTGCAGTGATAACTAGCTCCACAGGAGGAAGGAGGAGAGCGATGAGTTCAAATGCCACAGAGTGCTGCTGGGAAACTCCTTTGAAGCAAAAGGCTTCCCCACCTACCTAGGCCCCATACCTATAGATAACTTGTCAACCTGAAGTCCCCAGTCTTGGCCACTAGGTTGGGCCCAGTGCAGCTCAGCAGGCAGTTCCTGGCAGCAATGTCCCTGTAGAGTCAGCAAAAACAAATTGCTGCCAAACTCAGAATCTCTGGTTCTAATCTACTTTCATAAAATTTATGTGGAAGGGCTTATTCTTTGGGAGAGAGTTTGGCTAGGGGTCCCTGGAGCCAAGATCGCTCTCAACCTATAGACAAGTAATTTTCCTCCAAATAGTGGGTCCTGAGCCAGCTAAAGCAGGTTCTGCATGACCAGAGATGACAGCTGGCCCTGGGTTGGGCAGAGGGCACATTAATCCAAAGAGGTTTTGGGATACATGAACAGGGTCTTTAGAGGGGCGTGGAGCGCTGGGAGAAGGGTTACCAGGTGTGGCCAGCTATGCCTCAGGAAACTCTTCATGTCCCCTCCAGACATCAACTCCAGCAGAATCAGAGGATGGGTAGCCTGGAAGCTGAACCTCACACAAAGCTCAATATTTTAATGGCTGAACTTGCTGGGTGGGTAGTACACATACCCTATCACCAAAAGAGAAAGAAAACATGCTCTAGGGGACCTCTGTGTCCCTAGGCTTGCAACCTCTCAGCCCCGGGGAAAAAAGAGGCTGTTCCAGCAGGCAGTTCTGGGTGCCTTCCCCACACCTTCCACCCTGGCCCCTGGCCCCAGGTACACTTGATGATGAGTGTCTCCATGAGGAAATCCAGCTTGTCCTGGAGTTCTGGCAGGGTCTGGGAAGGAAAAGGGCACAGAGCTCCTGAGTTCCCCAGACGCTTCAGGAGGGTGGGCTGACCCTAGCTCCAACAATTGTTTCTCCCTCCACTGATCCCTGCTCTCTTACCTCCAGGCAGAAGTCCCACCCACTCTCACCTTGACAGCTACCTGCAGGGAACTGGGGTGCCCAGGAAGGTCAATTACCAGTCCTTCATAGGCCTCTCCAAAGGCACCATGGCCCAGGGTTCTGCGGACGACAGGTTGGGAGGGAGTGGGTGGCTGAGCCTGAGGAAGGGTCCTAAAGAGTCTAGTGTCTCCTTTACCTCCCTTGCCCCATCCCTACCCCCCAGCTGGACTTATATGAGAGTCTGAGGGGGAGGAGGATTCTTCACAGCCATGAGTGGGTATGAACTCCTGCTTCTCCCCAGGAATCAAATCATGACATGTCCCCAAGTACAAGCCCTGAAGAGGCAATGTTGACTGACACAGAGCTGGGGCAGAAGAGAGGGCACATGTGGGGTAAGAGTCTGTATGAGGCCATCCCTTAGGTCCTTGCAGACACCCTGGGGTGGAGGCAACGCTTGCTCCAAAGGAATCATTCCCCAGAATTGGGGATGACAGCTGACCCTGGACAAGTTACTTTTCCTTTTGGAGCTTCTCTGGCCTCTAACTCCTCTACACGAGGGGTTTGAGCTAACTGCTCTCTAGGATTTATAATTCCCCACAGCAAGGAGCAGGATGAGGGGTGGGGTAGGGGTTCAGAGTACATAGATTTTTAGAAGGAGGGGGAGGACTCACCTGAGCAGAGTGACATTGGCTGGGGAAACCTCAGTAAGCCCTGGAAGCAAAGGCCAGGACTGGGCCATGCCAAGCCCCATATGGCAGTAGTAGGGGTTGGGAGCTGTCCTGATGATGGAGGTTCAAAGCTTGCTTAGCTCAAGCTCAGGATCTGGAAGCCTTGTCCCCAGGCCCTGCCACTTCTACGGTTCACTGAGGATGGAAGGAACAATGGCATACTCTCTACCTGCTCATCAGGCCCACTCTGCTTTGCCTCCCCCTGCCCAGGACACCTCTCCAGATGCCCATTAAAGCAAATGTTTTCCCTGAGCCTCTCCAACTGCTTCTACTCTTAGAACCCCAGAGGAGTCTGCTACTGCTCTACTGGGAATAGGGGTCTTGAAATCAGCTGTGTCTGCTCCTGGGACACCACACAGCTCAGTGGAGAGGTGGGCAGCCTTGAATAGCCATACCTGTTGGATGCTTCATAGCCAGAATCAGGACCCCACACACCATAAGGAAGCTCAGTGTAGAGGTCACCCCCACAACCACCAATAGAACCAGAGGGCCTGGCGCGGGTGTGATGGGCATGTCTAGAGACAAAGAGAGATACCTCTTGTGGGAAGCTACTCTCTGTCCCTCTATCCCAGGTTTTACCCGTGCCTCAAGACTCAGCTCAAGTATTAACTTTTCCACGACACTTTCCCCACTTATCCCAGACAAGCACCTCTCTCTCTCTGGAGAACCCCTAAAACACTTTGCACCCCCCGTGGCAATTGCTATTTTGATAATATATCTATATCTAGATGTAGATTTAGATAGATAGATCCATATATCAATATAGATCTAGATGATTGGTAGATAGAAAGATAGATAGATAGGTAACTATTTCTCCTCCCATACTAGACCACTAGACTACATACTCCCTGAAGGAAGAGCATGCACTGATACATCTCCAGTCTCCTGCCTACACCTAACACAGTGCCTGGCACATAGCAGGCAACATGCCCAATACTCAACTTCTCCCAGCCTGTGGCCCCAGGAGTCCAGACCTTCGACAAAGGCAGAACTTACCCATGCTGATGATGTTATCAGCAGCTAGCTCCATGCCCTCTGGGCACATGCATTTGGCTGAGGGGAGTTCTGCTTGCCATTTGAAGTCTTTCAAAAGCCAATGACTACAACTGAGGTGCAGTCAGATCTCCATTTCTCCATGGTTCCCCATTATTATGAGTAAAAGAATAGATATTATAGGTGAGGAAGGGGACATACATACTTTTTCCCAGCCATGTGGTTAATTCTAGCCCTGGACTTTGGAACAAGAGGCAACACCAGGCATTTAAGTGTGGGTGGGAGGGCTTGGGAGACTTCTGTCTAGCCTGAATACTCCCTCTTCTGGAATCCTTGAGCTCAAAGGTATTTGAGAATTCACAGCAAGGAGATACTTGACAAGCTCTCCAGAATGCCCAATGCTGGCATCACAACTGACAGCCCAGTTCTCAAATTCCTGTGCTGTGCAAGAAGCAGATAGTTTACAGTGCAGAATTGATGGCTCAGATGGGAGTGGGCTCAGGGATTGAGGAAAAGAGCCAGGCCAGGATGAAAGGTGGGAGATAGGGGCCAAAACCTGCCAGAGGCTGCAAGTAGAGATCATTGCTAGGGTGTGGGAAGGATAACTCATCCTCCCCATTAGCCCAGAAGATATCGGTCTCAGAGGCATCACCTCCTGGAAATAGAAATGGAAATGGAAAGAGGGTTTGGCTACAAAATGAGGGGGGAAAGGGGTACACAGCTGCCTCACAGATGGGAAGCTGGCTTATGAAGATTGGGGAGGCTGGAGTCTTCCAGTGGAAATCCTAGTGTGGCCTTCTCTGCGCTAGCATTACAATACAGGTGCTGCCAGTTCACAAGGAGGAGCCAGGAGCCAGGGAGTGGGGAGGGAGTAATCAGCTGGACCTGTCTCACCTCCTTTTCTGTCTAACCCCTCTGGTCCCACATCCTCAGTTATGAAATGGGAGAGGCCCAACCACATGTTCCATTTCTGTGATAATGGAGAATTATATATATATGTGTGTGTGTGTGTGTGTGTGTGCATGTGTGTGTGTGTACACACACATGCACACACATATAAAGTACTTATGAACAGTACAGCCCGAACAAACACAAGGCTCTGTTTCTTTACATCGGTGGTTTCTAAACTCTAGAGTATATTAGAATCACCTAGAGTTTCTGGTTCAGTAGGTTGGAGAGAGGCTGAGAATTTTCATTTCTAACAACTTCCTAGGCTATACTGATGCTACTGGTTCAGAGACCACACTTTGAGAACTGACTTAAGCTATCCCTGCCTTTCTGCCTGTCCTCTCAGTTTGCTACCTCAACCAGTTCAAAGTTTCTGGGCTGCTGCAGAACCGAGGAGACCTATTGTGATGGGAAAATCCTGGATTTAAATGACAATCTAGAGAGTCCAGTCTGCATGTGTGATTTGCAACTTACCTGACCTCTTTTTCTAAGAGCAATTTATTACTCTACCTGCTCTGGCCTGGAGCAGCGCTCAACACATTTCCCATCCATCCTTCCGAAGGACTCGGCCTCTTCTAAGGCTCTACCTCACTTCACCCTGGGGGTGGCCCAGTAGCCTCCGCTGCCTCTGTAGGCAGGCCCCCCGCTGCCACTCCTAAGCCTCCCGCTGTGGCCGAGCCAAATGTAGCCCAGCTCTCTGAGCAGCCCTGGCCGCCCTCAGTCTCTTCCCGTTAGCTGCCAGCCTGCTGAGAGCGAGCCCGCAATGTCCAGACTCTCCCTCCACCTGAGAAACGACAGCAGAACGTCTGGCCACGGGGATGGGGAGCACACCCGCCTTCCTTGCATTCCCGCACCCGCTCCTGCTGCCTCGCCTTTCCCGCTACTCACGCGCTGCAGAGCAGCTCTCTAATTTTCTGGGAGGCCTGAGTCCCGCCTTCTTCCTGCCGCTTCAGGTGGGCGCGATCGCCTCCTCCCGCCGCCACCAGCAGCAGCTGCAGCTTGTCCGCGTGCAGCTAGGGGGCTAGCGGCGCTTTCAGGGGCGCGCCCTTCAGCCGTCGAGTGAGGACCTGGGCATTGGGCCAGGGCTACCTACCGCCCCTGGGGCTGTAGTAAGGGAAGGAGCTCCCAGCCAGGCCTATGGCCTGTACGTAGAGCTCCGGTGTGTGCGCCCGTGGGAAGAGGTTTAGGATTCTAAAACTGAGCGCTGGTATTCAGAGCTGCCCCCGTGAAGGCAAGCGCGTACCCGAAAGATGTAGGTGGCGACCCCGCCTCCGGCCCAGCGCCGCGACCCCAGGACCCCTTTGGTCCCATCCTTCGCCCGTGC